GGGCCGCCTACGAAAGATATCTACCTAGGAATAGCCGCCAGCTTGATGGCATTACCGAGCGAGAGCGACAGGACTTTGTGGGCGGAGTCCACTCGTGTTCGAGATTGTCATATGTCGATTTAGATTAATTGGACATAAAGAAAGAAAGATCGAACAGGGCAAAAGAGCACAGAAAAAGTGCTGGAGTCTGGATTCTACTTCAGCCGGCTTGCGTCTTACAGAGGAATGGGCTAAGATTCCCCAAGCTACTTGCCTCAGGTCCAAGATGTGTTATTACTACCCTTTGCAAAAAGGGGTATTTAGCATTTCGTGTTTTTTGAGGCATAGGCTGGCTGTAAAAGAAGGGCAAGGTTGTAAGCTGGAAGCTACAGCACAGGAGGAACCCTCGCTGTAATGGCTCCTAAAGGACATTGTGTGGAAACTTTTAGGTTGGCCATTGCTATTAGTTTCCATTGCTCCTATCCGTTGTTCTCATTGTGTGTGCTCCCTGTCCAATCGGATCGCTTTTAGGAGCTGGTGCAGCGATCTGTTGCACTGAGACGCCTGGTGCGAGTCAAGGTGCCCACCAGTGTCCGCGTTTCTTTAGTAGCGTACTTGCTCCTAGTAGCGATGCCCTTTGCTACTAGTAGCTTCTTGTTCCTAGTAGTAAGGCCAGGAGCCCCTAGTAGCGTCCTTGCTCCTAGTAGTAAGGCCAGGAGCCCCTAGTAGCTTCTTGTTAGCAACCGTTCCATCATTTTTGCAACATTGAACTGGGCGGACATCACTTGACACACATGAGATTTTACTCTGCGTGCCTTGTATTAGGAGCGAACCCCGACTTGTTTAGTTGCTTCTCAGTTGCTTACAAGGTCTTTATGATTTTGATGTTTTTGATTGTGCATGACATGCCTTTTGATCGTTCTCCAAGAGGTTGCCGACGGCGCGGACGTGGAGCAGGCAGATCTTCTCCTTTTTGGAAAACACATTGTGTTCGGTCATGACAAAGCGGGACGGGAATGGGTTGGCTTGACGCTCAGGCTCATGAATCCCTTCGCTTGATCGTTGAGTTTCTGGATGCATTGCAAAGGACGCTGCTAGCATGTTTCCCAGATGAATCATGCAGGAGCCTGGCCCTGCAGACAGAACATGTTTGTCTACCCATTTCACCAGCTTGTGGCCAGGGCAGCGGCTGAAGAGAGACGCTCATTGACAAGTATCCTGCGCGACCTTTGAAACAGAGATCTGAAATGATGAGACATGCTATTTGTGGTTGGACACAGTTGAAGATGTGGCGATTAGGCCAAGACCAGAAATCATCATCTTTGTTGCTAGACTCTAGACAGCAAAGGTCAGGGAGTCTATCGGCCGGTTCAAAGCGGCTGCAAGGACAAAATGGAAGCGGCTCCGACAGATTACTAAGCATATCGCATTCATTCCGCACAGTAGGCCATTGCTTCTAGGTTGGAGGCCATCACTATTAGGTTGGAGGCCACTATAGTATCTCGCTGTATCTCCCAACGTTTTGTCCCTTCATTGGATGCCACCAACACGTTGGGACCCTAATCGCCGCCCTGCACCGCCCTGCACCGCCCGCTCGGTGCTTTGCAACATGCTCAACGCCAATGGTTGCAACGTTTGTGTTGGACGCATCTTGGGTTTCTCTCCCTGTCGGACCCATGTTGATTAGCACATTGTAGTCCAAGTACGGCGCCCTCTTGAGCATGCGTGCCTTGCGCATTTTCGTGCTCAAGCAACGACATGAGCTGAGCGGTCAAGAACTTCACAGCATGCGCTTGAGGCAAGCAGCACTGCGCAGCAGTTTCACTTGGAGGTCGACTTAGCACAGCCAAAGCCCTCTATTGCAAATGACCCTTAGGGAGCAAAATTTTCAATCCATGAGCCAGGTTGGAATATTCTTTGGCGCTGGACTTCCAGGCTTGTGTCGATGTTGAAGTTGTCGGGTTGAACGTAGACCTTTTTCAAGCTTTCTCTTCACGAACTGGGCCTCTTTAAGTCATGATTAGCGGAGGTGCGCTTGTCATGGGCTCGGTGTTCATGAGTGCAGGCGTCACCTACGTGCATGGCTTCTGCCAGTGTGGCCGCAGCGAGTTGCGCAGCTGTTGCGGGCACCTCTGCCTCAGCGCCGGCGCCGCTGCTGCAGTGGCGGGGGGCCACTGTCGCAGCGGTGGCTGCGCCTGTGGTTGCAGCTGCGGGTGCTGCTGTGGCGTGGCGCCGTGTGGCATTCATTGCTTGCGCGGGCTCTCTGCACATCATCTCCTTTCAGGTTGTCCAGCCGTGCCTCCTTGGTTTGTCAGTGCTACCAAGGCGTTTGAACGTCTCACGCCTTTTCTTCCCCATTGTGTTCTGTCATTATGCCGCATCGCACCGTGTTCAGAATGCCCCTTTCTAGCGCGCGTGATTCCACTGTATGTCAAGCCAGGTCAGTTTCCACCTGCTCAATGACCGCCCATGGTGTGGATGCTGTTCAAGCTGCGGTGCCTCGTGGAGAGTTTTTGGGTTCTCTCAGCCTGCCAGCCTCCCTGGTTGCCAACCGCCCAGTCGCCTCCTGCATCCAATTCAAAAGTCTCTTGCTTTCAGCACAAAAATGTTCCAAACCGTGTCAGTTCATGAGTCCGCTTTGCGGGGCCACCCAGGGACGAAATACATTGAGTCACTTTGATTCTTCAAGGCCGATCGGGGCCAAGACAGGTGAAACTCGGCGTGCAGCTGTTTACACTCACCCGTTTCAGGCTGTCACGCTTGCCGCAATAACTGGCAGACAGTTGGATCAACCGCAACAAATCCAAGCGCCCTGCAACATCCACGCAATTGCCCTCCGCGAGTGTCTTGCTCCCACGCTTCCTGCGCGTTGGACGGCTGAGAGGAACTCACAGAGTGTCGTGCTCCTGGCCTGAGCAGCGTTCCATGAAGATGAAGGCCTGGCCATGCTGGCGCCAAGGCAGGAACCATGTCATTCTCGCCGCCTGACCTTTTCCACGGCATCAGCGACTCAGTGCAGCCAACAAAGCAAGTTATACACGTAGTACCGCGCAGGGCGGCGGCGGAAGTTTCAAGATAGGGACCTATATACTATATAGGAAGAGGTGGCGCACGTTGCAACAGTCAGTTGCCTGTGGACATTGAGTACTCTCTCTCGGTCTGCTTGCTTCTGACTTACTCGCTTGCTGACTTACTGACTGTGGTGTGGACTGACTGACTCACTGATTGACTGACTTACTGACTTGCACTTCGCGCAATTCCTACCCTTCAGACACACTGATCTCTTCACTTGCTGACTTTCGGATCTAATAGCTCTCACGTCCCCTGGCGAGGAACCTGGCCATCAACTTTGAGCATGTTGGAAGTTGGGCTTCTAGACTTCCGTTGACAATTCGCGCGCAAGACGAAGCGGTGAGTGGTTCATCCCCGCAGTGGTCTTTGTTGAAGACCCGCTGCTGGCTTCATTGGTGGCAGGAACCAGCCACAGAGCACGCAGACACTTGGACTGCTGCGATGGTGGGCTCAGCCGCCGCGCTGGCCTCAAACCCTGGGCTGCAAGTCTGCAAGAAGCAAGGCTGCAATCTTGGAATCCCCTTGGATGATTTTGATGTAGGTGCAGGTCAGCGGCAGACTTGCAGTCATGCGTCATGCGTGTTCCCTGTCAGGGCCCCATCTGGCATGTCATGTGTCCTTCCAAGGCTTCCGGCTCCATGCATTTTGGAGATAAGAGGATGAAGAACCACCTCTGTTTGTTATGATGTTCGCCTCCGCGTGACGAGTTTCGGGCTGCGCCTCTTGACTAAGGTCATCGACCGACGCATGGCCAATGGCCTATAACTTGTCAACGTCCGCGTTGGCATTTTTCAATAAAATAAGACACTGGCCATTGAAGACCGCCAGCGTCAAGGTTTGGGTCATCCTGCGCCGCAACGTCGGTCCTTCCAGCACAAGCTTTGCGCCTCAATTGCCCTGCCAGAGGCTTTTGAACCCAAGTGTTGTATGCGCTGAGAGTATCATCTTCCTGTAGCCTCCCACACTGCTTCTGCCGACCATCATTCTGGACTTCTTAGACACCTCTCTAACATCCGAGCCTGGTTTGAAGTCAAGGCTCCCAAACAGCAATCGGTTCCTGCAGCGAGTCGCTGTGGGAAGAGGCGCGCCAAAACATTGAAACACATTACCGCAGGCTGTCTGAATGATCACTGGTGCTGTGTTAGAAGATTAGAGCTTCTTTGTGGAGTGGCCAATTGGCCAGCATCATATTGTTTATTCGTGTATAGGTATGGTTTCGCTTGGCTTGGTTCACCTGAATCCAGGCCACCTGCACGCTCTTCAAATTGATCTTCAAAGTTAGAAGCTCAGGAGCCAGGACAATTTGCGGCAGCGCCTCTAAACAGCGCACGCCCACCCAGGATGGAGCGTTTCATCGCAAGAAAAAGACAGCTGAGCTGTTCAGACACAAGACATGTGCACTGGGTCGAAGGCGAATGGTATGGTCAGCTACCTTGCGGCAGCAATTCCAGAAGATACTTGGAAGTTGGCTTTTGGGCTCATAACCATATCATTAGTGTGAGCTATCTTGCGTACTGGCTAGGAGCCCTTACTTAACTAAGTAGGCGCCTACTTAGTTAAGTGAGGACGCAGGGCCACGGCAAAAGAGCGGGCACAGAAGCGTTTCTATTCTTTTCAAGTTTTACTTGTTCCCCCAGTCGTGCTGCGTGTGGACGACACCAAGGGCGCTCTACCTTTTAGCACTGACGATGTGCGCGTGGGTTGTTGTATTCCTGGCTTGTGTTTCACTATGTTTTTCTTCCTGCCTGCCCACCGGAATTTGTTGACATAATGCTAGTCAAAATCCATGAATGTTAAACGTCGTGCAACTGTTTCCGCATTCTCTGCAAAAAGAAACAATCAATTTTTGGCCTGGGGCCCATGGTTTTCAGATGTGTTTCCATGTTTTTGATGTTTTGTCCAATGTGGAGGCAGCGAAGTCATGACTTGCACTCTGTGTTTTTTCGCCGTTTGGCTTAGCACTCCCTGTATTTGCAGCCTTAGCTGCTGCAGGTGGCTGCGGGGTCAGGTTCCAATTGCAGTGTAAAGCATTCAAAAGACTTGCCATTCACAATCTGAGCTGCCAAATTGTTTGTTGAATCAGGGTGGCTGGCATGGACCAATACCAAAAGATTGAGAAGGCCCGACACTTCTTCCATGAAAAACCGATGTGCTCATTGTCCATATTTGAATCTGCGGCATGGCGAACCTGAACTGCATGAGCTAGCCCAAACACAAATACAGTGCACATCCACTGGTTCCGCTGGCCAAGCGCGTTGGAACAGACATGTTTTACTTGATGTGCAACACAAGGTGGGCGAGGGCACTTACGGAGTCGTTTACAAGGCCCAGGCAGGATATAAAACAAGGTTTTTATTGTATTATGATTATTGCAAATGGATTTGAAGATGTCAGATTTAGCTCAGCTAGCAGGATTCAGCGGGAGAGATTTACGCTTTGAAGACGATCCGGCTGGAAGTTAAGCCCTCGATTGTTTTCTGGACGAACTCACAAGATTCACCTGCATTGTCCTGCTGCGCACTCTAGACTTAGTTTAACTATTCTGGTCTACCTTGCTCTGATTTTGTCAACCTCTTTTCACTCATAATGTTTTTCATCTTCCACACTCTAGACAGGCTCCAACCGCTTTACCCTACAATGTTCCACTGTACCCTTCTCTCTCTACTCCACTCTAGTGGAATCACCCAAAAGTGCAGGAATGTAGATTGGACAAGTTTTCTACCATGCCCTCTCACGTCTTTGTCTTTGTTTCACTGTCCTAAACGAAACTAATCCATAAAGAGTAAAAGAGCAGAGTAGGTGAAGGAAGACAAAGCAGAATGGGCGGATCTACTTTACGAGAAACGTAACCCATTCAATGTGTTTTTCTTCGTGCACTTTCTTTTATTCTATTGTGGCCGCTCTAGTCTGGTCTTGATTCTGATTCACTTTGACGGTGAAGAGCGAAAAGTGCGGAAAGGAGGTCGCTTTATATTTTGTAGCATCTGAGTAAGGATATGTGAGGGAGGCCATCACTATTTGGTTGGAGGCCATCGCTAATAGGTGTCTTTGTATTCTATGTTCTTTCCTTACAAGTACATATGCGGTAGGCCGTGAAGGCCGCTAGTAAGCGAACAAGTAGCGCCCTATGCGCCAGGCGCCAGGATCCACCATCAGGTTTCCGCCTGAGGAAGAACTTGGTAAAAACATCTCAAAACCCTTCGCATGATTGATTTGGTTCCTTCCCTTTCGGACAGGCTTACTGCATAGAACCTGTGAATCAACAACCAACACTTGAGAGCATCACAGAGTACCGAACATCGCATCACTTTGCGATGGCCTCCAACCTAATAGCTTTCAGTTACTAAGAAAACTTTATTACTAAGAAGTAAGAAGCTTCAAAAAACCAAAAGCTTCTTGTTACTGCAGGCGAACCGATTCCCAGTGGAAAGATTCCCAAGATTAAATACAGCATCAGAAATCACCAGGCAATTACTGCCATCGCACACCTCCATCATCATATTGCGTCTCACTTCACCACAGGTCATCACACAAAAGCAACATTACTCAACATTACTCGTGTGTTGATTGTTTGTTGTAACGAAATGTGATGTTTGTTGGTTTGTTGTGTGATAAAGTGTGACGCGGTGCAATTTGGACGCAGCTAAGTATGGATGTAGTTGAGCTCTGAGCTGTTTGGTGCTATTTGAGTGGTGAAGTTTCAGTTCCATGTTGCGTTCGCCGCAAAGAAACACATCCCAGCCCTTGCGACACTACAGTGTGACCTCAGTAGCATCCCTCAGTGTGAACCTGGCGCAGCCATGGCAGAGCAGTTTCAAAAAATCCATGTTGAAATGTTCAAATCGCTATTAGGGTAGAGGCCATCGCTAGTAGGTTGGAGGTCGTTGCTAGTAGGTCAGGCCGAGTTTTGCAATCTCTCATCGGTGCGGAGATTTGTCCAGTCAAAGTGCACACGATTGAAGCTTTAGTTTCTAAAAGGCAGAAGTCCAAAAAGCTGAGGATTCTATACCAAACAAACTGGCTGAAATCCGGAGTTAAGCCCCGCAACGGACGATGAGGCACTCAAAGTCAAGTGCTGAATCTTTGATAGATTGGGCCCGAAGATGTTATTTTAAAAGACATATGTGGCTCTTAAACTCAAATTATGAGTCACAACCACGCTTACCAAGCCCGAAGATGCCCTGTCAAGGTGTCGAACTAAACAATTTGAAAGACATGTAAAATGGGGCACCATGGGTCAGGTGTGAGTCTATAATCTGTTGCAAGGAAGACACGGCTTTTTGATACATTAGAAGGGACAGGCACCAAAAGCAAGAGCGATGCATCATACATCCTTGGGGGGTTGTCAAAAACCTTAACGAACACGAACAACACATCCTTCTCAAAATGTGTTTTGGCCTTTGGTGCAACCCCAAGTTTCTGACCAACATCAATTTTGCTCTTGGACCTTTGTTTGCATGTTGCTTTTCTTATTTCGAGTTATTTTCTTACATAAGCTTTTTGTGGTGACTTTACGTTGATATTTCAGGACACTTGTCGAAGAATGGCCCATGTGTAGCTGATTGATTTCGAGCCTCCACATCATCTCATACGTTTGTCGTTTAATCTCGTGATTCTCATAACGTAGCGTCTTTGGACACACATCCAGGTTGTGTGGCGCTCCTTTGATAAGGGTTTTGTCAGGACGATCTCGCTTGTAGGTGCGTGTCAAACCCTGTTGTGTGCCCTTTTTGTGTATCTGATATCTTTGTTGGGAAGACATGTCACTAACGCTGCATCCATTGCCGAAAGACAATGACGACAATGCCTGCTTAAACCTGTCAGAGGTTTCATCGGAGCAACCACGAAACCAGGAGTTGCAAACTTACTAAGGCGGGTCATAAACTTACTAAAGACTTGGGTAACTTCATGTAAATCGTCCGAGTCTCGTGGCTACACGCAAGCACAAACATCCAATGTTCACCATGTTGCTGTGTGAAGAAACACAAGAATCTATGCCGTCCTCTTGAGTAGTGCCAGACTCCCCCGTGCCTTTGTCATGGGTTGAGCATGCTAAAGCTGTCAGTACTTATTTTGGAGTGAAACACATCGAGTTCTAAGGCTGAGGATGAAGGAATCCCCAGCACCGTTGGGGCCTCAAAGAGCTCTAGGACTCTCAGAGTGAGAGATGAGAACTGTGAGATCAACATGTGTTCTTCTTATTGTTTCTACTAGCTTCTTGTTACTTATCTACCAAGGTGAATGGTCTGGTTGGGAAGGGACTCCTTGGGATCTGAAACATGCAAGTGTTAGGACCCACACTTGTATGCCATTTTGGCTCAAGTGGGGTCCAAGGGATTCTTTTCTTTCCCATGCCGCCCATCGCTCCTTCCACTTTGGCGCAGTGGGAGGTGGGAGCGCGGCGTTGGCGGCGAGGACATCGCGGAGAAGATCCCTTGGAGATCAGTGTGGAGAGTCGACTGAGCTCGCTCTCTGCACGGTCAGCCTTTGTGGTCGCACATTGGGCGCGTGTGGACCGCTTGCCGGACGTGCCGGCGGATTTCTGCCGCGCCTGCGGCTGCTGGACGAGCTCGTGGTGCGAGGGGTGCTACCTTCGAGCTCCACTCGAGTTCTCAGCCCTCTGCCAGGGCTGCGACGCTGCCCACCGCGTCTGTGACCGGTGCAGTGCGGCTGGTGTGACCTGGCAGGCTGGTCACGATGCCTTCGAAGCGACCCATGGCCCCGAAGACCCCAACACAGTCTACATTTCCGGCTTCGGAGCGAGGATGGGGGACCCAGCCTTCAGCGAAGTCCAGGACTCGGTCTCCATTGCCACGCTCGCGGAGCAGCTGGGAATCTCAGAGCAGGCCGTCCGGGAGTACCTCATCCATGCCCTCGGAGGCGCTCAGGCCGGGCCAGCCGATGGAGCAGGAGCTGCAGGATCTGCTTCACGACAAGCCTGATGGCCTGCGGGAGTTGGTGGTCTTACTAGGGGCCCAGACGTGCAGTGATATTGTTGGTATTTGGGGTAGCAGCCAGGAGTTGTTGCAGGAAGTGGAGCGAGAGATTGGATCTCTACCTCCCGACCATGAGTTTGCTGTGGCGGCTTTCTGGACGGTCGCCTCGGGTCGAGCACACAGCGCCCGGGCCAAGGCGCAGAGGAGATTGGAGGACCATCGACGATCCTGCATCTCCACTCATCCGGTTCCGTCTGGGACGGATACCACAGTCCCGCCCTCAGGTGTCCGGATCCGCCACCTCACTTCTACGGGCCCTGGTTCTGCGGCCCCTACGTTGATCCAGGATGCTGCACACGACCCCTATGCCCGAGAGGTCCTCCAGAAGAATGCCAAGCTGGAGGCGATGTTTGAGCTCCTGCTGGAGGATTTCCTCGATCTTGAGGAACTTGGCGTGAACAGGGCAATGATGCGTGACCCGGTGCGCTGCCAACTGTTAAAGGAGACGGTTATGCCTGCGGCTAGCCGGCTATCTCCTCAGAGGGCTGCGGCTTTGGTGGGTGCCCTCAGGCGTTGGCGCCTTTACGCCCTGGACAACCAATTCCACGTGCGGCAGCCGACACCTCTTCAGTTGAGTGCGTTCTTCAAGGCCGTGGCGGCTGGAGGACCCACTGCAGCCACTAGCATGTATCATGCCCTGAAGTGGTACCGCCTTCATTTTGCCATCCCCTTCGATCTGGACCACTGGTTATTGCAGCCGTATAAGTTGCTTCCCATCGACCATGCGGTCCAACAGAAGCAGGAGTTGCAACCTTGGGAGATGATCAATCTTCTCCTCCGCCTCCGGCAGGCGAAGGGTACGCACTTGCTGTTGCTGGCCATGTTCATTTGGGCGGCTACGTCATGTATTCGCTTTGAACATTTTCAACGCTCCAGCTTTGTGGGTGAAGCGGATGCTTTCCTCATCTTCAAGTGCGCACAGGGCAAGGCTCGGCGTCAGGGTACCCGGCCTGCCTATGAATGGGCGATGCCTGATTTGGTTTTCAGAGGCGCCAGCCTGCTCAAAATCGTGCGAGACTTTGTCCTCCACGAGACCCTGCCGGATGTGGGCTTTCTGTGGCCGGCGGTTCAGCCGCAGGCCGATGAGCTTTGGCAGGTGACGGAATCCACCCCCTGGATTGTCTCGAAGAAGATGTCCCGCGGCAGGTTCTTGGAGCTGATGCGCGGTACGTTGATGGATCTGGGGGTGGATCCGGCTCAAGCCCAAGTGGCTGGGTTCAACAGGCTGCGGAGGTTCCTGCCCACACTGGGCCAGATCTGTCGCTTGGGGCCTAACGACCAGCAGTCAGCAGTCACCGGGCAGCTGGGTGGAGGTCCCGAGTGCTGGAGGCCCCACCCCGCAGCGCAAGAGTCGTGCTACATGGAGCATGGGCGTTCACTATGCTGGCCAAAAGGTGGTCCACAGTGGTCTCCTCAAGGTCGCCCTCATCAAGCGGTTCCTACATCTATGGCAACTCAAGCAGTCAGAGCTTGCCTTGACCCACGACGGTTTGGTGCCGAGGGATGCCTGGTCGTGGCAAGAGCTTGCATCAGCCAACGAGCGCTTCCCGCCCCTGATGGAGGCTTTGGAGCTCCCGGAGGTGTCCTTGACCCCCGAGGAAATGGCCCAGCCTGCGCTCCCGGTGCTGGAGGTGGTGAAGGAGGAACCTGAGCCTGACAATTTGTCGCCGGCTGAGGGCGTTGGCGATGTGGTGTCAGTGTCTTCGTCCACCACGTCTGCATCGGCGTCAGATGCTTCGGCAGCAGCGTCTGACCTTGAGGGTATCGACGCGCCGGCGGATTTGGGGTGCGAGGGCAAATGGTTTGTCCAAGCCTCCAGGGTCCACCTCGTGCAAGGCGAGCTTGAAGGACGGCTCCTCCCCTTTTGCCGCGATGCGGCCTACGCTCAAGACCCCAAACAGGTTGGTGAAGGGTTTAACACCCTCCCGAAGAGCGCCATTTGCCAGCGGTGTCTGGCTCGCATGCCACGGGCACTTTACAAGGCCCTGGCTGACACGTGCGGGTGGCTTCAATGACTGGCCATCCCCTGGCTATGAAAAGAGCGCTTCCAGTCCTGCCTGGTCGGGGGGGGGGGGGGGGGGGGAGGATGCTGACTGGTGTGTCCGGGGAGTCGAACCGGTTTCCCGTTCCCCCCTTTTTCGACCTCCACTTTAATTTTCGTATTTTTTCTGACCCCCTGAGGGCTCGTTGCGGTCCCGGATCAACCCACGGTCATGTTTGATGTATTCATGTGATCAGGGCCTGTGGACACTGGTGTAGGGTGGGGTGGTTTGTGAAGCTGAGTCTTCCTCTCATCCTCCACTCCCGTCAGCCTGGCCCGAGCATTGCGGACTGAGTACTGCCTCTTTCATTGAAGGGCAGCCACATGACGCATGCTTCCCACATCGATGTCTACGCCGACGACCGCGGGTTGTCAATGTGCTTCCAGGTTGCCAATCTCCTCCCGGAATGGTCTAAGGAGCTCATCGCCAAGCACCGCTGGGAGACCCTTGAGGACTTCGTCTATTGGTTTGACGATGTGAATATGGAAGATTCCTTGACCCAGGTCCTGGTGACCACCACCTTGAAGGAAAACCGCTTGGCTCGTTCTCGCTTGAAGGCGGCGCGAGCGGCGGGATTGGCGGCCATCAAGACCGCAGCCTCGGAGCAGAAACACGTGGATGCCCCGGATGAGATTCTTCCAGACAGTACTATGCAGCAGATGTCACGGGACTTCCAAGCCAAGTACAACTTGACGTTGGATCCTATGCTGGAGCCCTCGGATGCCTTACGCAGCCGGTGCTACCGTGAGTTTCGCAAGCGCACCATGACCGTCATTCCTGCCAGCAAGATTCGATCCATCCTGCACCAATCCACTCCTCGCCTTCAGGAGGCCGTCAGACTGGGTTCTGGCGTGCAGCTGGAGTTCCAAACAGAGGAGGGGCGGGTGGTCAAGACAGTGGTGGATCACTATTGGGCGCTGCGGACTCTGGCCTATGCCTGGGGTTGGGCCGGACTATTCAAGCAGCAGGACTTCGACAAGCAGGAGCGCACTTTCATGCCCCTGGACCAGGCCCTGGCCTATGCGGACCACGCACTACAATCGACGATGGAGTATGGCCATGGTAGTCTGCTCTGGTTGGAGAAGTGTGACACTCTCACCAGGTCAAAAATGGCGTCGTTGGTTCGACGGGGCTACACTGGTGGTAGTGCCCTGGCCGAGGCGCTCCGCCAGACTCATTTGGAGTGGCGCTCTCCGGCTATGCAGCCCAATATGCCTGAAGCAGCACCGCCCAATGCCAAGCGCAAGGCGGCCGAGATGGCCTCTGCTGAGGAGAAGACCCAACCGGCCAGGCGCCAGATCAAATCAGACAAATGGCCTACGGTGAGCCAGATCAAAGGCGGTCAGCGGTTCTGCAAGCCATGGAACGATGGCCGGGGATGTCAGCAGGCCAAGTGCCCCAACATTCACAAGTGCGATGTGAAGCTTCCTTCCGGCAAGCCGTGTTCGGCAAGCCACACCCGCCTGCAGCATTCCGAATAGGGACAACACCCCCTGGGGGCCTTTGAGCCCCGGGGGGAAGTGGAGCAGCGACCATCATTGCAGCCCCCTCGCATGGAGGAACCGCCTTGGGGCGCCAGCCGACGGGTGGTTTTGACTAGTGAGTCTATTGATGATGCTCCCCTTCCTGGTCCTATGGATGTCGCAGCCCGGCTGACTGCAGCCAAGCCTGTGAGCTGGCGCGGGAGAAGCGACCTCCCGCAGTATCCGTGGGCAAAGCCTTTTCGTGGCACTTGGCTGGTCATTGACCTGTGGGCCGGCGTGGGGGGTCTCTGTGTAGCTCTCCTCGCCATGGGGGTTCATTTCTATGCCCTTAGTGCCGAAAGTGACCCTGAGGCAGTTCAATGCGCAGCCCAGGCCATGCCCAATATCGTGCACCTGGACACGGTGGAACAAGTGCAGGCTGATATGTTTCGTGGCCTTCTTCAGAGACGCCAACCTCGCGGCATTCTGGTGGGGGGTGGTTCCCCATGCCAGGGCAACTCCTCGCTGAATAGGCACCGCAGAGGCCTTGCTGACCCGCGGTCCCAGCAACCGCTGGAACTACAACGTATCGCCCAGGAGCTTCGCGCCTTGCCGGAAGCCGCAGGTTTGGAGATCGTGACCTTCCTGGAGAACGTCGCCAGCATGCCTGCAGCTGTTCGTGACCAGTACAGTACATGGTTAGGATGCCGACCTATTTGTATGGATGCAGCCAGCTGCGGATGGGTGCGCCGCAGGCGCCTGTTCTGGCTAGGCTCTTTCACGAAGGGTGTCACGGCTGCAACACCTCCGCCCGAGTCATGGATATGGGCCCCAAATGAGGCTGATGTCCCGACGCTCCGTTTTGAGGGAAAAAAGCCGGTGCCTTCTCAAGTGTGGTGGAGTGGGCCTTACCTCCCCCTTTTAGACCCGGCCCAAGTTCTCCGTGCCCATGGAGCAGGAGCGATGCATCCCTTCACCAGGGAATTTTGGCACCCTGCTGATCGTGTGCGTGACGCCACACCAGCAGCCGTGGATCGGTTCCACCAAGACCACCGAAGGTTTCCCCCAGCCGCATATGAGGAATCCTCATTGCTCTGGTCGGGGTCTACTTGGAGGACCTTGCACCCATCGGAACGGTGCCAACTCATGGGGATCCCTCCGGACCTGGTTGAACCAGTGCGGGGGTCGCAGGCACGACGCACTCAGGTCAAGAATTCCCTCATTGGCAATGGCTTCCATATCCCGTGTATCATTGCCCTCATGACCATGTTACCCAGTGTGCTCACCACCAAGCTCCCCTGTCCCATGTCGGATCATGATGAGCTGGCTCTTCACTCTAGGCTGTCGCTTTCGGTCTGGGCACCGGGTCGCCTACAGGTCATGCCGGGGATGCTTCAGGCTGAGGAGGTGGTTTCGCGGTTGGGGGTAGTGTTCCCGTATTTGGAGGCGGAGTCACCGGTCTGGTCGTTGATTCGCCCACGACTGAGTTCGTGTGACTTGTCACTCCTGCAGGCTTATCCAGCGTGGCGGCACATGCGCCAAGAGCCTTGGCAGGAGTTGGGTCCGGTTCCGATTTGGGGCCGCCAGCGGACCGACATTTATGCAGGGTTATCTGGCCAACGCTACGCGAGTTCGTCCGCGCGGGGCCTCGATCACCTGTTGGTTCCTGGGTTGGGCAAGGAGGCTCATATGGCAGCCTCTGCAGAGCTGCCGACCCCTTTCCACCCCCGAGATTGGCCTGAACCAGACATTGGTTTTGTTGTTGAGGCATTGTTTGTATGGCAGCAGTTCCTGCCAAAGTACACCAGTAGGCTCCGACATGTCTTGCGCACGCTTGCCACCGCGTTGACGCCCCTAGAAGAGGCCCTAGTGCCCTTCAGGTGCCAGGCAGCCTCACAAGTTGCCCGCGGGAAGAAACCCGCCTTGACGGCTGTCTTGGCCATCTTGATCAGATGGCCCGACCTCTCGCTGGCTCAGCAACTGGTTCAGGGTTTCCCTATTGTGGGCTCCATGCCCCACTCAGGGGTGTTCCGCCCAGTGCGCCAGGAGGGCAAAGCAGACCTGTCTGAGTGGTTGGGCGCCCCGGCAGCTGCGGATGTCCAACGGTTGATTCATAGCCGACCACCTTTGCACAGTGAGACCATTTACCACCTCACTTTGGACGAAATTGCCAAGGGTTTTTGTAGCCCCCTGAGAAGCATGAAGGAGATGGATGATGTCTTTGGTGAAGGTGGCTGGCGAGCAGTTGAACGGTTCCTGATCACCCAGCCAGATGGCAAGCAGAGAGCTATAGATAACGCACGTAAAAGTGGCCACAACCACCATACTACCATGCCTGAGACTATCTCCACTGTCAATGTTGACTTTGTGGCTGCTCTCGCTCGTATGGTTGACTCCGCGTTTGCCTTAGATCGTCTGCCCCCTCCGTGTTGGTTGGACCTCCGTCTGGGTACGGATGATCTGCCAGATGCTTACAGAGGGTTGCCAGTTTGTGATGAACATCTTTGCTACTCCAATGTGGCCATCTATGTGCCGGACCAAGGGTGGCGTTTCACAACCATGTACGGACTCGCGTATGGGTTGGAAAGTGCCGTGGTCAACTTCAACCGGTTCCCACAGCTTGGTGTGGCCATTGTGAAGCGGTGCCTCCTTGGCTTTGCGGCGGCATACTTCGATGATGAACTGGCTGTTGATTTTATCCGTGACCATGACGTGTCTCAGGTAGGCTTGCAATTGACTTTCCAGTTACTGGGAGCACCGCCCCAGCCTGCGAAATCCTTTGCCCCAGGCCACAATAGACACTATTTAGGCACTTCTGTCCATGTTGGCGACTTTGTCACTGAGGGTTTGATCCGGTTCCAACCAAAGTTTTCCACGTCCACCAAAATTTTAAAGAAACTGCGCTCTGCACTGGAGACCTCCACGTTATCCCCTGATGATGCCGGCAAGCTCCGGGGCGACCTTAACTGGATGTTCTCCATGTGTGCTGGTTACGCCGGTCGCATCGGTGGACCATTGTTGGCCGCCAAGCAGAAGGCAGTGTCTGCGGACTTATCTATGGAGGATTGCCTCACCTTGCGGTTGCTCGCGGCTATTGTAGCCTGTCCAGAACCGCGGGTTATCTCCATTCGGTCCAAGCCTACAGCTCCATTAGTCATTTACTCCGACGCATCTTTTGAGAATGATACACTCCGGCTTGGCTGGGTGATCATTTGGAAGCATATGACTCCGTCAGGCGTGACTTGCACGGTCCCCCAACGAGTCATTGATACATGGCAACCACGAACACAGCAGATATACCCTGGGGAAACCCTTTGCGGCCTGCTCATCCCTTGGTTCCATGGTGCTCCACTCGCGGGGTACGACGTCCTTTGGTTTGTTGACAACGAGGCCGCAGTTGCCTCGCTGATCAAGGGAGGAAGCTCTCAGGCGGATGTACACACCCTTGTACAGCTGGCGCATTACCTCCTCCAAACCTTCCGCATCCGAGTGTGGTTTGAATGGATTGACAGCCATTCTAACCCCTCTGACGGCCTCAGCAGGGCTGGCCTCGATGACACGTGGACTCAGCACCAAGCCTGGCATCTTTTTGCTTTCGATTTTCCCTCTGCTCTGGAACAGGTGGCCCGTCCAGAGGACCTTTCCTCATTTCTCCCTTTATGGACAGTGGGTGTTTCTAGTGTGTGACAGTGGGTTGGATGGCAAGTTCATCTAAGATGACTTACCAAGCTAGTCTG